AATCGTGATCGTAGTAGTTGGGTAGCGGAAAACAAAAAAAGAGAGTTAGGTCATATCAAATCCTCGGCCAAAAAAAAAAAATCCTCAGCCCAAAACAAAACATCGGCCAAAAATCTAAAACTTCGGACAAAACTCAAAAAAACCTCAACCAAAACTCAAAAAACCTCAACCAAAACTCAAAAAAACCTTGACCACAACTCAAAAAACCCAGACCAAAACTCAAAAAAAGTCGACCAAAACTCAAAAAGCCTTGACCAAAATTCAAAAAACTATAAAAAAAAATCATAACCAAAGCCTGAACCTTTGCTATTGTTCAGGCCTTGGTTATTTAGGAATTCATTCCTAAAAATGTTTAAAGCCTTCCTAATATGTTCGAAAAACTTCCTAGACCATTCCAACAATTTAGAATGGTCTAGGAAGCCCTTTTAAGTATTTTGTTTAACTCTCAAACCTTATGCTTGTAAAACATTTTTAAGCCTAATGAATCAATAATAAAGTTTAAATCTTAAGCTTTGTAAAAATGTTTCAAGTCTAATGAAACAGTAATAAAGTATATTATTGTTATAAGAATCGCATAAGGTATAGAAAGTTCGAAGAAATCATAAACAAGGCCTGAAACTTTACAAGTGTTTGAATATATGTATTTATGAAATCATTCCTAAATACTTATGGTATAATCCTAAAACCAATGAAGAAGCAATCAACTTGCTAAAAAATAATGTAATATCTTCCTATAACGGTTGAAAACATTCATAAAGGTGATATGCATGTATTCCTGTTGTGTCCTCCTACATTGCATCTGCTACATTTGTGTCCTTGGGATTTTGAACCGGGTACACCAAATTCTCTCTTTCTCTCTGTCGGAGGTCTCCCACTCGTTTGCTTACAAGTAGGTGGTGCGCATGAATATACTTGTACAGAGTCAAGGAAATCACAATTTGTCAAATCTCCACATGGGTGAATGCTCTCAGCATCTTTTAGCCCAAGTTTCCGTCAAGTAGACCTGATCCACATACTTGTTCTCATCCTTGTTTGTAAACTTAGCTGCAGCAATAGTATGGACACAGGGGATTCTGTCGATGTCAAAAACGAGACAAGTGCACTGCTTGTTTTCCAGATGAACAATGTACCTCCGAGTCTTGTCTTTTACTTCAAACTCATATCGATCTACTTGGAAAACATCAAGTTTTATTGCATCATTGTATCTGTCTAACATCATATTCACTACGCGTGGTGTGACGAGTTTTTGTGTTTAAGAGCTTTTTCCCGATGTTCGTGAAACAATTTTGTGAGAGTTAACCTAATGGTCTCATAGAGAGACATTATTGGCAACTCACGAGCCAAGTTTAAAATCGAATTCAGAGACTGCAATGTTGGTTGTCATGATATTGTACCTGTTCGAAGGTGCATACAAGCAAGACCACAAATAAGAAAAGACTGAGCAAAATTTATGATTACATTCCTAAAATCAGTCATAGCTGCTTAAATGTTGTACTTACCTGTTCGAAGGTGCATAAGAGCGAACCCACTTTGCAAAATCAGATTCTTCCAAATATGCAGCTAATTTTGGGCTCCTGATCCTTTTGTCATTGAAGATGCCAATGAATCATGACGAGTGTAAACGTCAGCTGCAGCTTCTACAAGCGGAAACAACTCAGTTCTCCCATACTTTGGTGTTATATTCCTCAACAGATGGATTCTGCAAATACCATGATGTGCAAGCGGATAAACCACTGAAAGTGCCTTTGCAATGTCATGAGCTCTATATGAAACAAAGACCAAATCAGACGCATCATGGATCGCAGTCTTAAGTCCACTAAAAAACCAGGTCCACGCATGTTTGTTTTCAGAGTCAACTATCCCAAACGCAAGCAGATATAATGTATAATCTCCATCTTGTGCACTAGCTCCAAACAATGTTCCCTTAAATTTTCCCTTAAGAAAAGTACCATCCACAGCAATAACTCTCCTCATCAGCTCAAATCTTGACCAAAAACAAGAAAGCTGTATTTGAATTTTTTTCCCTTTGGATCCATCTCAAGATAAAACTTTGATCCAGAGTTTTTCACATTAACTTTAAACACCACTTCGAGAGGTTTTGATAGCTATCGTCGGGAGTCCCTCTGATCAAGTTCTGAGCAAACTCTTTAACCCTCCAAGCTTGTTTGTATCCAATGTGTACACCATGGTCGAGTCTGACTTGCTCCATGATTTGTTTCGGTCTAAGACCATACTTCTTTTCTCCATAGTTGCTGCAGATCAGAGTCCCAAGCACCTTGGCAGTTGCTTGCCTATGGTTGGCGTTCCTATGAATTGTATCACATTTGTGTTCACTTACATAAGTCTTCACCACAAAGAAATCAGAAGAAGGGAGTTTTGTTGCACGCATCCTCCAAGTGCAATTAGGTTCAACACATCTTAACACCACCCTCGTCTTGTTTGACCAAGCTGATCTGAACTCAAACTTCCAATCCAAAGCCCATTTCCTCATTTGAAGCATTAACTCATCCTTTTTCTTAAAATGTTTATTAACATATAAATCAACATAGGGATGCGACATGCCTATAGGAGAAAGATTAGAACAGAACGCAAAACATCAATAGTAGAACATGTTGAATTTACTTCTCCATTTGCTCCATGAGTTAACTACACAGAGAAAGCTTTTAGCAAATATTTAGGAATACGTATAAGTTATTTAGGAAACCATATCTAAAAAACCCATGATTTCTCTTGAACCATGCAAACACTAACTATAAGTGCTTGCATTACCTGTTGATTTCCTTGATTGAATGAAACATCCAGATGAGAATTAGTAGGTGCAGTTGCAGACATTTGTGTGAGTTGGGTTGAATTTGAAATGCCAATATAAGAAATGGGAAGATTTGACGCAAGTCATAATGTATCAGCACCCGAAAATCTGTTTGCCACAGATGTTGAATTGCCTTCTCCATTTGCTACATGAACTAACTACACAAAGAAAGAAATAATACAAAACCTTTTAGAAATTATTTAGGAATACTTATAAGTTATTTAGGAAAGCATATCATATTTAATAACCCATGATTTCTTTAGAACCGTGCAAACACTAATTATATTTTGCATGCATTACCTGTTGATTTCCATGATTGAATTGACAAATAGCATGTGCAGTTCCAGATAATTGAGTGGGTTGGGTGGAATTTGAAGAATTGGATCTATAAATTAGCTACACAAAGAAAGTAAAGATGCAAATGTTAATGAAGGTCTGCCTAAATGATAAGAAACAGCAATGACTTAACTATTAATCAATTCAGATGATGTTTACTTGTTGAATTGCATGTGCAAATGAATCATCAACATAAGAATCTTCAGTCACAGTTACATATAAAGGAATCATTCAGATGATGTTTTAATTAAGCTGATGAAACTCCTCAGTTGGCAATCGTTCTCAAGAAACACTGGTGGAAAATTGTGGACCACCAACCTCATCTTCAAGGGGGCTCCATAGCTAAGTGAAATAATAGTTTTGGAATCGATCCCTTAATCATCATGAATTATCTCAACTAAATCCTTGAATGTATGATACTCATCAAACTCAAAAATAGTTGATCCTTCATTTGCATCCATTTCAAAATCTCATTCCTGCTTCTCATTTTTCTTCCACTCACCGCAAACACAAAAAACTTTAACCATATTTTGTTTCAATAGAGCCTGTCAAGAAGAAAAAATCAGGAATTTCAGTTCATTTATCAATTAGGAACGCCTTCCTAAGTATACCAAATGAGTTCTCTTCCTAACACACATTCTTAGCATTTTCTCCTAACACACATTCTCACCATTTTGCAACTCTGAAACTAAAAGAAATCCTTTAATCCAAAACAACAGCAGTAGTTGAACAGATATAATGACCGATGAAAGATGTGAATCAACAAAAGATGTGAATCGTCGTTGTATATGTGAATGGTAGATGTGAATCTACGTACCTGAGATATTCGCTGTTGAGCTTAATCGGATATGATGAAAGATGTGAATCGACAATATAAATCAACGATGATATGCAGATAAGAAATCTCTCAATCGCTGGTGAGCTGATCATCGATTCCTTCACTTCTCACCAGAATCTGCGATTCTCTCTAGTGTGAAATTGAATCAATTCGTCGAAACGAACCAGGATCTCTCGCGACAATCTCTTCGATCTCTAGCTCCAGGATAATTAGAGGAATTGTATCCTCTTCGCCGGAATTCGGAATCGTGATCGGGTCAAATGAAATCGGAATTGTATTTTCTTCGCCGAAATTTGGAAATCGTAATATGGTCAAATGAAATCTCCGGTGATTTGAAATCGCTAATCCAATCAATCTCCTAATGAATCCTCATTTTAATGAATGCTAAATCTGTATCCTTCCCAAATGAGGGTTATTCCATAGAGTCTTAATTTTTTTAAGGCTGTTTGATTCAATTTCTCTTTGAAAAATTTTCCATCGTTTTACTTAAAACCTTTAATCATTTAGGTTTTATCTTTGGCAGATTATTAATTACAACAAAGTGTTACAATACTTCTAAACTTGTTTCTTTCTTAAATTATGTGACTATATATCTGGTATGTAATATTTTTTTTTCTTCATAAAAACAAAACTATTTAAAGAGTTTATGAAACCGTATGAATTCAATAGTGTATATATATATATATAAAAAAAAAACAGGGACTAGTGTGAAGATTTATGGTTTAAATCCATCCAAAACAAAAAATATTTTCTTCGAATTTATCTTTTTGGCCGAGTTAGTTTCCTAACTTAAATGTTGTGTCTTTATCTACTGTACATAGTGACATTTACGTAGCAAATAAAAACAAAATCTATGTGATTGGTAAAGAGTGGCTTAATGTTAAACATTTATTAAAAATAAGATTTTAAATATATTTTTATAAAAGATTATCGTTTTTACTTTGGACAATTCTTAAAAATAGCCCAAATAAACTAAAGTTTCTCTAATAAAGACCTTCATTTTGAAGGAGACAACTATAGCCTTCATTAAACCCTCTAGCGCCGCCGCCGCTTCTTCCTTCTCGCACTGCCTGCCATCTCCGCTTTCGCTAAAAAAAAAGCACTGGTGAAGAAGAATCCCAACAACATCGTGTGGATAGCTTGATCAAGACGAAGTAGTTGGTCTTTGTGATAAATCTCAGTTTGTTTGCTTTTTGTTCACTTTTGAGATTGATGATGGATCTCAATCTTGACGTCGACTCGGCTGATTCTACTCAGAAGGGACAAGATTCAGCTGCCGTAAGGGGATTTTCTGGTGCTATTCTGAATCATATGGATGAAATGGTGACGTCGAACGCTTCGGTAGTCAATGCTGAGGCGTCCAGCTACCGCGATGGTGAGGAGGATGCAAACAAAATGTTCCTCATGTGTCCTCCGTCCAATCAGCTCTCAAGGTGGGATTTTAATCAAATATGATAAGTGCTTATCAATGCTCTTTTGCCATTAATTGCTGATACATTTTTTCTTTCAGGCTGAGAAAGCACTTATCTTGGGTGAATCTATGCCCTAGTGTTCATAAAGGTAAACATATCAAATGGAGGGTGTTATTAGTAGTTTTCTTGAGAGCTGTTTGTCTTTCCCATTTGGTTTTCTCTATCTGGACTATGACTTAGTTTGACTTACTAATGTTCAGGGCATATATGATCAAATTGAGAAAAAAGGCAGAAGCTTTCAGCATCCAAACTTCTACTGCTAGTTTGATAGAGCCTGACTTTAGGAAGTTTCTTGAGCTTTAAAGAAAGGTTTCCTATATCGTCTTTACCAAATTTCTTGAGCCTGTATTGTTTTTTTCTTTCTTTAAGTTCAATTAAGTTGGTTAGATTAAGTTCATCTGATCAGAAATGTAATTTCTTATAGAAAAAATCATCACATTGGAAGCAACAACTAATGTTATACAATCATCATCTTGCTACTACCTATATTATCTTCAAATCTCTATCGTTGCTTTTAATCTTAGACATCGTTACTACCAATTTTCCATCACCGTTGTACTCCTTGACATGAGATCATGTCGGGTTGATCAGCCTAAAACTCCACATGCCAAGCGAAAGCCCATACAACGACAAACCTACAGGATGCATCCGTTCTCACTATTATAGCCATGTGGAAGGAACAACGACATAAACATGCTAATATTTAGAGATATAAGCTGGCTAGAACAATTTATAGTCACACATATGCAACAGAGATATAAGAATCTTCTTGAGCATTTAACATTTAGGAAGGTTTTATGAACATTCAGGAAGACTTGTGATGCACATATAAATTCCATTATATAATCTGGGAAAATGCATGTATGTTTACGAAAGTCTTCCCAAAAGGCCAAAAGTATAAGAATCCTTCCTAAAATTAAATATTTAGAAAGGTTTCCTAAATATTTAGGAACATCTTCCTAAATCTTTAGAAAGGTTTCCTAAGAAACAAAATGATTCATATTTAAGTTTTGCATGTTAGAATACTCATATCTATCTTTGACTGAGCAATTAGTTTTGAAGTCTTTAATAACCATCTCAACTAAATTCTTGTATGTGATGTTCTCATTGATCTCACCAAGAACTCCTTTGTTTTTATCTACATATGTATATTACAGGTTATACGAATATTTTACAATAAAACAAATCTGTCTCACTTCAATTATTATGTCATTGTCAATGTCCGATTTTTACAAGAATTATGTTGATTACACACGAGACTTACAATTCACGTCAAAGATTCCTTGGAAAATGTTCAGCTGGAAGTTCCTTAACATTTAGGAACTGGTTCCTAAAAACTGTAAATATGCTTCTTAAATCTTTAGAAAGGCTTCCTAAAATGTTCTAAAAACTTCCTACAGCATTAGAATGCTTCCTAAACCTCTTAAAGTTTACAAAACTTTTCTCAAACTATTCGGAGATATTCATAAACTCTTTAAAAAAGCCTCATCAAAATTTTAAATGTGTTGAAAGTCCTCCTAAATTTAACAAAAAAAATTCTCAATTATTGAGGAATAAAATTATGTTAACGGTCTTCAAAGATTACACTGTTATGTTCACAAGATATGTTCTTCATCCACGGCATGGGATATAATTTTTTTTTGTTTTAGTGCTCTAGTCATTACACATTGAATTCACCCATGAATCCATGATATTCTAATTGCAAATGCTCAAAACACAAACATGCTTTAAGATTTAAAAGGTCTATGTTACCTAAAAAATTTGAAAGAATTTAACTCTTGAATAATGAACATAACTTTTTAATGATTCAGGAAGGCCTTCCCAAAATGGTAGGTATCATTCCTGAAATTTCAAAAATGCTTCTTGAATCATTAAGAATATTTCACTTTCAGTTTAAATCAATCACTATGTGTTATTTAAGATGATACTAGGTATCTGTCCACGGCTCGCGGACACAATCAACACACAAATCTTATTATAATTTGATTTTAGAAATTTTTGTAACATAAACGTCATATTTTTATTTTCAATAATTGAGACTAAAATATTATATAAACATAAATCATAAAAATACTAAATATTCATTACTATTATTCTAAACCGATTAATATCAATCGTATATTAGAGTTATTTAAAATCGTATGTAGCTATTAAGTAATATTATAATAAACGATTACCAAATATAATTAGTAATAATAATAAAAATAATTAAATTGTAGATGAAAAATATAATAAAAAGAAATATCAAAATAAATAATAAGATCCAACTCGCGATTTTTAAGTTATATAAATACTTATATATAATTACTATACAAATTTTGTTATAATTTGATTATATCAAATTCTTTATTTAACAAATTTTGCAATTCTTTTACCAGATTTAGGAAGTTTTCTAACATATACGTGACATTCTCCATTCTGAATAGTTGGAACTAAAATATTATATATCCATAGATCACAAAAATTTATTGGATTGTTTATTATTCTAAATTAATTCATTTAACCCACGTATTAACGTTATTTAACAATCGTCTACATTTATAAATGGATATATATAACGTAATATAAGAAGTACTATATTAAATATCGATACTGTATAACTTTAGTGGATATATATATAACGTAATATAAGAAGTACTACATTAAACGATAACCAAGGAAAATATAATAAAAGAAATACCAAATAAAATAGAAAGATTCGACATAACATAAGATAGAAAGCCTTAGCATGAGAAAAAAAATGTAGCTTATACGATGATATGATGAGGACATAAATCCATTAAGTCTTGTTGCATGGAATTTAAAAAGATAAAAATTAAAACTCCATCATAATCAAACTTTCAGGAGTCCTTTTTCGTGCTTGTTCCAACTTGCGTCTCTGCCATGTTAAACTTGTTTCGAATCCTGAAAGTTTAAGAGACACAGACAGATTTAAAGGTTATTGTATATATAAAATATTCTCAATATCATTGTCGGATTACTTACTTTCTCTTGAAAATCAGGACATCTTCAGTATTATGAGCAAAGAGGAGACAGGAAAAACCAATTGCTTCATGAGCATGGATAGTTATTTCATCTATATACATAAAACGATCAGTAAGAACTATACATGCAAAATAAAATATTTATGAAATTAATAAGATAATAATGGCATATGCTTAATGACCCATACCTTCTTTTTCTTTACGCTCCAATCGGTTAAAACACAAACTGCAAGAGGACCAGTGAATCTTTTGCTTCTTTCTTTGATGTCAGCAGCAAATTCCCCGTGTGTGATACATTTCAATTTCAAATCCCTTCAATTTAAACAATAAAAGTTAAAAACTTTATTACCAAGTCATAGTGATCATGAAAGAAAATATTACTTACTCGAGATCTCTAATGGTGAAAGTTATTTCTTAACAGTATCTCCATCAGGATTGTCTTCAGTTACGATGTCGCTAATATCTTCCATCACACCAATGAGATCTAAAAATCCATCATGATAAATTTCATAGTTATTATATATAGATTTCATAAATGAAATTCACATAATTTTTTTTATATATATGTACAATTATAAAAACGAAAACTTTAAAAGGAATAACTAAAGATAATCTTAGCAACATGATATATATATAACTGACCATAAGGAACTCTGTAGATCTCACTAAAAGGGATAAATTTTATGAAGGGATCCATTGTCAATGGTCGTAGAGATGATATTTTTGTCTCGGTAGTGAGAATGATCTGATAATTGTCTCTTGTGGTCCTTCCCTCGTTCTTCCGCTCAGATGGTATCAAGCCGAATCTAGACAATTAGAGCCACTGTCCTTCAGGCCCAACACGACTAAAATATGGGAGGGAGAGGTTACCACATGAAGCATTGATTCTGCAACCCTATATACAGTGAAATTCGAAGAGAGATCAAACAAACAATAAATATAAATAAAATATTTATATGTTTATATTAGATAATACTTACATTTTCGTCGACTAAAATGAAGTTCATGCCTGGTAAGCCTTGTCGATCAGGTTTGTTCCATCTTTTCAAAACTTTGACACGGATTTTCCAGTCTCGTCTCCATCCATGCAACTCATCAACGAAGTGATATGCACCCATAGAGAAAGTGTTTTTAAAAAGGAAAAGAAAGGGTTGCGGAGAAAGATTGCTTTGTTGTTAGTTTTTATAGAGGAAGAAGATTTGCATGTATAGAAATGAGGATATATATATATATATATATATATAACGTCTAGTCAATAGTTAAACGGTTGTAGATATTTAAGGGAGATGGTTCGGTGAATCAATGCCTTTTACATCTTTTCATAATTTATAAATGTTCAATATTTGAAAAATTGCAACTTATGATGAAGATTGTAAAGCTTTTATTGGTTATTGCGGTTTATATGTTAGTAAATGAAGTGTTGAAAGTTGTTTTAACACGAAATAAAGTTGTTTTATTGGGCCCATATGGTGTATATAATTTGGCTGCAACATAATTAACCGTTTATATCAAACCGATTCAGGTTTTCTATTATATTAACTGGTTAAAATTATTTTATTAAAATTTTGGATCCTTATCGTAATACTTGTAATTGAATTCAAAATTGTGAAAGACTATACCTTTTAAAAATTTCGCTATAACTTGCTAAAATAAATTTGTTCTTGATATGTTTTTAAACGACATATCACATTTGAATTAACACAAAACATAAAATAAAAATAGGAAAAAACAAATGATACTAAATCCTTAATGAAAGAAACTATAATAAGTTTCCATTTGGAAAGAAATTTATAATATAATTCGTAAGACTTGACGGATACACATATATTTGACTAATATAAATCAAATATATTTATAAGCTTAGTGATATGTGTCATTTTTAAAAACTTATTTGATATGTGTTAATTAAATGCATCATTATAAATAACATTTAATTTTATATGAACGTTAAATAGTGAACCTAATTATTAATAGTCATCATACAACGATTGGTATTTTTGAAGGTAGAATTAACTGGTGCCTTAATGATACACTTGTACATTATCATCTATAAAATGACGAAACGATAAAATTTTTTATTAAACAGAAAAAAAAAATTTTTAAACTCAAAACTTCACAATAAAACTGTCTTCTCGTTTTTGATCAACTAAAACTATCCCCATGCGAACATATCTGTGAACTGGATTTAACTTTGGAGAGTTCTTGCATATGCATTCAGGTTATCAAAATTATCATTGAATACGTCGGTTCCAATGCATAAAAAAAAATGCTTCTCTTGGCAGATGAACATGTAAGTACATAATTGCAATACCATATATTTTAACGAAACGGTTATCTAACTTGTTAATATATTTTGGTCAAAGGGTGATAGAATTGTAGCAACAATGCCCATTGATTTAGTGGATCAGTACAGTGACCGAATTTCTGAAGGGAATTAGTATTTTATTCGTAATTTTAGTGTCATACATGATCTATGTTCATCAGTTGCGGTCTTCAACAAATATCAATTGTGTTTCAACGAACATACTCGCATCCAAGAAACATCATCAATTCTCAAAGATCATCCATATTCATTCATATCGTTTAGTGAAATATTCAACACTCCATCTACACGCTCAAGGATTGGTATGTTTTGTATACAATTAGATTGTGTTGTTTTAGAATTATTTATTATTTAGATCTAACCATAGTGATAAATTTTAATTTTGTAGTTGGCTTGATCGGAAGAACTATCAAAGTTCATAAATTAAGCGAGCATGCTGGGACAAAATATGGAAGATGCCATGTTGATTCACAGAAATGCATCAACTTTACTCTTAGAAGTTTTGAGTAAGTAAACATGTCAGGTTTTTCATTTTTAACCGGTGTTCAATTGACATCATTTTATTAAATATAACATAAAACATAAAGTAAAAAATAGAAAAAAATAAACAGTATTAGGTCCTTAATGAAAGAAATATTAATAAGTTTTTCTTTTTAGTATACTCTCTAAGCCTGAGCATCCAAAATAAGCTTCTTGAGGCGGTGAACTTCAAGGAATGGAGGGTTCAACAAAACTTTACTGCATTTGAAGGGTGTTGTAATAATCCAAACGTCATGTATTTGGATGATTTTCATAAACCTCAACACACAGATGATCACAAGTTTATTGGTTGATATAAATATAAGTGGTTTTTCAACTTCATATATCACCTTTTTAAAAAATAATAAACATTTTGAATCTATATTAATCTATTGAATTTTTAAAAATTAAATTTATAGAGAAGATTAGAGAATATGTCTTCAATTGTTGGTCACTTCTCTGCAACATCTCCACACACCTTCGACTTGAAATATTGGAAGAAAATATTAGAATATGGGTAATACGTTGATACACAAAATAAATAATTATTTGGCTTAAAATAAGAATAATATTAGAACTACATCATTAAATAATAAACTCAATTTATTGGAATCAATGAATACCAACAAAAAAAGTGTTGATCAAAAACTTTTTTAAGAAAATCAAAATCAAGAAAAAAAGAATCTATAGAAAAAATGACATGAAAATGCATACTATTGCCATGATTTAGATCCATTTATGTATTAATTTTGATTGTCAAACACACATACAAATTTGATATATCTATATATATATTTAATATTTTATGACCAGTAAAAAGCTAATCTAAATCTTAATAATTCTCATATAATGATTAGTACTCTTAAAAGTAGAATTAATTGGAGTCTTAGTGATATAATTGTAAGTTATCATCTATAAAATAGTGCAATGATACAATTTTACACTAAATAGAGAAAATTTAGAACTCATAATTTCTCAACATACAACCGTCTTTTCGTATCCGATCAACAGAAAAATGTCGCCTATGAACAAATTTCCGAACTGGATTTGACATTCGAAAGATCGTGCATATGCACTCCAAGTTATTAAAGATATCATTGAAGACATTGGTTTTAGTGTCTCTCCAAGAAAGTTTATTTTGGCTGATGAACATGTAAGTATAAAAAACGAAAACTATATTACTTATTTTTAAATTCACTATCTAACTTGATCATATATTTTGGTTAAAAGGCGACATAATTGTTGCTACGATTCCTAGTAGTTTAGTGGATCAGTACGATAGCTAGTTTTTCGAGAGAAACTGATATTTAGTTCATAAGTTTAGCATCATTCCTCAACTAAGATCATCAAATGCAATATTCAATAAATATCACATATGTATAAACGAAGATACTCATATCCAACTAATATCATCAAAGTCTGAAGACCGTGTCTATTCACTAATGTGAATCTATTAATAATTTTTGAAAAAATTATTAATGTGATTTTTTTTATGTGAGAAATACGAAATTGTAATTATCTATTGAATTTTCAAATAATTATTTTGTACATAATCATTAAAAAAGAAGTTAGAAAGATAAACTTAAAATTTTATAAGATTATAAAAACTATTTAATTTATTTTACCGAATGTTTACATTGTCTTCTTACACTTCTTCCAACTTTGTCATCTTCTTATTCTTATTTCTTTTCGTTTTTCGTGATATCCTTATTTCCTTTTGTTTATATTGTTTTCTTACACAAATACTATAATAAATTACAAAATGTTATTAAACGCAGATACTATTTCCATATTCACGTACAAATCAGCATCTCATATAACATTTCACCTGATTCTTGGCTTATCTAGTAAAGCCCTCCTATTTTCCTTCATCGTCCTCACTCGCCTTTATTGTCTTCTGTTTTTTTTCTTTAACTTTAAAAAAATGAAATTCAAACGTAAACAATGAATTTAAAAGCATGGACCCCCCCCCCTTTCTATGAAAACAACAATAAAATTAGTATTAAAACCCACTAAAAAACTGATATCTTACAGCATCTTCAATCTTCTTGTGTTGTATCCACAGGTTCTGTTCAATCAGATCAACGAACTCAAGAAGATCAAACCTTGAGTTCACTTCGAGTGTCTCTTTTTGTCATTATCGGTAGTTCCTTGTAACCAAAAATTTCTATTTGTTCTCTGCAGCTAAGCTGTCTAACAATAACCTTATGAAAGAAATCCCAGTAAATTAAACCAAACCAAAGCCAGATAATGTATGCATTAGTTGTGTTATTCCGACAAAAAAAAAAGATTACTGAATTAAAAACTGCTTGAATTTTATTAACGTTTGGAATGAATTTATTCATCTATATGTAAAACACACACTATACGTCTCTCAAAATTAGAAAAAGCCAAAACCAATAATCTATAGAAAAACCTATATTTATGGCTGCTGTTTGTTTTGAAACTGGTATGGCATTTGATGATCTAATAACTCAAGTCTAAAGATATTTCCTTTTTGAACAAAAAGAAAAAAAAAAGAAAAATTTAATAGATAAACAAAGAAAGAGAAACAAATAAATCTTCTGGCCATATAAAGAAAGAGATCGAGATCATCTCCTTTAAAATTCTTATGACCTGATATTTATCTCTCTTATAATTAAATTTGGTTAGCGAAATAGATGTCTCTATCTATATTGGTTTGTGTAACTGTAAAGTGTTTCTAAGGAACGTTATAGAAAATGGAGTCTGAGACGAATAGAGTAAGTCATAGATATGAACACAAAAGTTCAAAGAGTGAACTATCGATTGATCAAAAAAATTCCAAAATTCTTAAAAAGGACTCTCCTTTTTAATCTAATTATTAGAATTTCTCAGAGCACAAAAGATAACATAAAAACCTAAACCATATATAGATAACAAAAATATAGCAAATCAAAGTGTGCGTAAATCAAGAACAAAGCAAATCTGGTACATAGGTCATAACCTCTCTTTCGTATATAATCATCAAGATCACAACAATACTCCTCCTTATCATCTTCTTGTTCTTATTTTCATTCTCATTCTTTGGTGTGTAGATTAGACCACAAAATTGGAAAGCTAAACAAAAAATCAGATAACAATGATGATTTATTTAAAACAAAATAACAAACACTACTCAGAGGACAATAAACAAATTGAAAAAACACTTAGATGACTTAAGAATTACCTTCATCTTAATAATTGTATCCTTCTCCTTTCTTGTCTTCTTTTTGCTCTTCTTTGCCTTATACTTTAAAGATTTTTTTAAAATGTAGATAACTACAATGAACCTAAAGATCTGGCACGCTCTTACTACGTATTCTTCTTCTTCTTGAAATAAAAAGGGAAATAATTACATGATGCTTATGATTTATTTAGCTAAAGCTAGTATTGAATGTACACACACTACATTGATGCCCTTCGTTGTGGAATTCATCTCGAAAACCATCTCTTGGTTTTTCTGGCTTGTTTTCGTTTTTACTTCTGGCCAAAAAGAATAGCCAATCATCAAAACAAACCACTTCAAAACTTATGATCCAACGTTTGTTTGGTTAGAAGACATAAATTTAAATCAGCACAATTAAAATAAAGAATCAACCTCTGTTGTCTTGATTATAGTTATTGCCATATCCGGTATCTATCACGTTGTTTTGCCACCGAACATTTTCTATTTCATGTATATGTGTCAGTATAATAAAATCCATATTACAATAGGAGATATCAAACTGAACACAAAAACCTAAAGCATATATCTAACCATCCTGATCTCGATCAAAATCGATTTCAAACTCTCCTAGTACCTGAAGTAGATCAGCTTATATTTGAAAAAATCATATAAATAAATTATCAACCAAAAAGGCATAACAAAACACAAAATATATGAAAATATGATAATGAAAAAAGAGATACCCATTTGTTTTGAATTGAGATGATGCATATTATGCAACTCCGTCTTTCTCAAATTCTTTCCTATGAATATTACCTTCATCTGATGTACAAACAAAATCCAACAAAAAGAACATAGAAGTAGACCAAACGATTGTATGACAAAGGAATTACCTTCTATTCTTCGAGTTCTCTTCACCGTCTTCCTCTTTTTCTTTGAGGATATAACATGCTTTTGAAAATTATAACAAACAATTAGATAAGGTGAGGAATTATTTATCTATAATGATTTATAGAACATAAATAAAAGAACTGAACAACTTAAAAAAACATATTGAATAATCAAATAGACAACACAATAAGAACACAACAACAGTAAAAAAACACCGATTAAATATTCAAATAACACCAAACCAAACGAAAATTTAGCTAACAATATGCTGCGAAACCCAAAATTGTGATCATACTTTTCGATGGATTCAAAATACCATATCTAGAAGAACACATAGTTAGATTAATCTGTAAGCAAAGGAACATATCGAAAATCGCACAAAAAAATAAAAACTAAAAAAAATACCACGTAGAGTAACCAATCGCCAAAACCCTAGAACAAACTGTAAAAAAAATAATAGTATATGAATATGAGCAGAGGCAGTTATTTATATAGAAAACGATTTAGGGTTTATGTTTTTCCTTATTTATTTGTCCATTATTAATGTGATCAACTATTTCTTTATAATTATCACAAACATGGGCTTGGACTCACTTTTTTCTAGATCTGATACATGATTGGTTAAAAAAATCTGATTTAGAAAAAGAAAAATTTAGAAAAAAAAACACAATTAAATTAGTCTAAAGTTCGAACTTACTACCTATAAGATAAGAATTCAGGTCACTAACCATTGTAGTTTGTGTTATTTTTTTGTTAATCAATCAGCAGTTAAAATATATATTTTATTGTCGACAAAAAATGGTATGATGCCATTTATTTTCTGTCATGAGCTCTATTCCATATTTTATTGTGTATTAATTATGGAATACTTCCTTTTAATCAGATTTTTTTTTAAATTATAAAATAATCAACTGACCAATCAGAATAGAGTATTGTCATTAATGACATAACTGTAATTTAACACATTTCACCAAAACGACAGAAAAAATAATAATAATTAATTAACACCAACCAATCAGAACATAACATCAGTTGACCAATCAGAACATAAGGATTTCATTAATCAAAACGACACAAAATATGTGCGTTAAACCACAGCTCAATTCACTTTTTAAATACTATAATAGATAAGTTTCATTTGATTGTGAACAACTAAATTTGAAAAATATTTGACTAAAAAAGCTGAAAATGATATTTTTAAAAAAATTCAAGAATGCATTCCTTAAATATATAGAATTCTTCCTGAAATTTCAAAAACTTTTACGAAATGTTTATTGATCTTTTCAGATTCACAAAGTTGTTGAGTTTGTGAGCTACAAAAAAAAAACAAATTCTGAAAAGAGTATTCCTAAGTCTGACTTTCGTCTCTCATAGTGTTTGTCACGAGTCTCTGATATATTGTGATGGTGGAAATTCCGTTATTCTCTACACTAGAATCTTCCTCCAAATCAGAATGGTGTCTGAACAACAAGTTAAAGGAACACAAAACACACAATTAGAAGCATATCTCTTCGACCAAAAAAAAAAAAAAAAGAAGCTTATCTCAAAAGAATCATGAGTCATAATAATTATAGTAAGTTTTATAAAAACTGTAAAGCTAATAATATCACTCTAATCATTGAATCACGAACATCCCATGTGATCGGTTAATGGAAAGAGAGTAAGCTACATAACAACAGGCTAAGCTTTACAACAAAGTTACTGTTTCACGGTGAACTATTTTACAAGCAAATGAAATGCTTTGTTCTTGATCTTATCTACTCTATACAACAAAGTTATACTCGCTCAATTTCCAATCTCTCTCACTCTTATCAATTCCTAACAAATCCCCACATAGCTCATACATCAATTAAGCACCTGAAACATAAAATTTCTCAATTGGCTAAACTATCACCTAATGAAGCAAAAACATAAGTAGCGCTTTGTAAGTCTTCAAAAGAATCAAAATTTGGGAAGATTTTCAGAAATCAAACCTAAAGCTAACAATATCTGATTGCAATTTGTGATGCACAAGAACACAATATAGAGTGCTTAAGCCAAAATGAAATTTTCTATTGGAAATGATAGAATTTGTACGTTAAAATTCAACTTACTTTCTATCGTGCATTGTCATGTACCCACAAAACTTAGCCACATCAAAAGATTAAGTTGTCTTTAGAGGGGTTCTCACCAGGGAGCATTGATCGAGCTTAGGGTAAGGAGCGTAGTCAAATGAGTGAGGATCTTTGGCCTCTGACGCGGTGGGAATCAAAATCCAGATCTGTGAGGAGATCGACCTTGGACGCTTCGACACATGCTCCGTCCACCGGCAATTTCTTCGCCGGTAAAACCATCGACAAGTCCTCTCTCGCCGACGATCTTGACCGCGCCTGCATCGACAACGAGCCCAAGCTCATGGCTCTTTTCTCCTGTCACCCTGCCATCGTCCAAATCCAAGATCTGATCGACACTGACTCCACTCTCTCCATCTAAATAGAGCTCGTCGAAAATTATCTGATTTTTCTCTTTTTTTTTTATCAATTGAAAATTGTTTTTGTTAACATTTTTTTAACAAATCTTTAATGAGTGCTATAGTTGTCTCTTTCCAAATAAGCGGCTATATTAGAGAAAGATTAGTTTTTATGACCATTTCATTTAATTTCTCTTTTACTTTCAAATAATTTTTATTAGAAATTATATATATATATATATATATATATATATATATTTGAACAGCATAGTTGATTGTGTTTTTTTGAACAAGAGTAAATGCGTTTTTACTCCAATAAGGGGGATTTAGAGAAAAAAGTAAAAATAATCCCAAATAATTAATCTAATATCTCCTTTTTGAAACTTTTACGCCTACCATTATTCTACTTCCAAAAAGTTTCAAGAGAAAAGAAAGAAATCTAATTTGGATTTCTCTTACCCTAGAAATCTAATAACTCAGTTAAAGATGATGAATCATTTAAATTCTGCTAAACCAGATTGGAAAAAAACTCATGATCCAAGTTTTCAAAATCAATCGACTTTTCTCAGTGTTATGTGTTTTTCATCAAGCTTTGTGATGATGGTGGTGGAGAACATGCAACAACAGACCGGATCAGCACAAACACCCAATCTTGAAGCTGAAGCAAAGATCCAACGTTCCATCAGAGGAAAAACTAGCCATCAGGTTTGAAAATTTCATTATTTATTGATTTTTGTTTTGAATTTTGAGATCGATTCGATTGTGTTTGGTATTCAACGTCGCCTAGAAATATAGATTTATATCTCAGATAGAACAGAAGTGTAGGATATTCTCTCTGTCTCTCTCTCTCTCTCCATTGTAGCAATGGCATTGACTCTCTCTTTCTTGGTCTCATATTTGATATCTGATTCCACTACTTTCAGGCAGCCCTAACAGAAATCATCTGTATGAGAAGAGAGAGAGAGAGAGAGAGAGAGAGGGAGAGAGAGAGAGAGAGAGAGAGAGAGAGAGAGAGAGAGAGAGAGAGAGAGAGAGAGAGAGAGAGAGAGAGAGAGAGAGAGAGAGAGAGAGAGAGAGAGATAATCCTACATTTTGTGTAACACCCTAACCCGCCGGGTCGGTTGTTACTAAAAATCAATTTTTGGTTTATTTAAATTAAACCATCATTCTTAATTAAATCCAATTTTAATTTCTTTTCTCCTGCGAGTCCATTAATCCAACCCATTAAGTTCAGTCCATCTAAATTAACCCTAACTATAAGTATCTCTCTAATCTCTCATTCTCCATTTTGGAAAACCCTAGCCAAATTCTCATCTTCTCTTCCCCTTCTCTCAGCCACGCCATCCTCCTCTCTCTCTCACCGTAGCTCTCTTTCTCTTCCTCTCTCCCTTGGCCGCTGCTCTCTCCTCCTCCATCAGCTTCGCTCCCTCTTTCTTCTCCCTTAAACCCTAGCCGCCGCCGCTGTCTTGTGTGATGATTTCCCGGTGATCCGTGAGGATCCACGAGACGTAAAACCTATCAAAATGAAGCCCCGAGTGTCATCTTTTTAAGGAGACTAAGTTCATCCAAATCGAAGATCTGTGCCAGGAGATATCGCTGTTTCCATGTCGGATGTCCAGATCTGCTTTGTTGCTAAGGTGAGGATTAGATCTAGGGTCTTTTTTTTTATTCAATTGTCTTCTTCTGGTTTGTGAGGTTTAGATCTGATGAGCCTAGGATGTTTCCTTGTGCATCTAGCTAGATCCATGTGTAAATCTAATGAAATGATCTAGGATCTCATTAGAGGAAGAACCAGCATATTTGATTGTTCACCCTGATGTGTGGTTAGTGATTGGTAGTGTAGCTAGATCAGGTGTTCATCTCGGTGGTGATGTGCCGAGGTACGGACTTGTTTGATGGGCTATTGATGTCTGTGTGATTAAAGCAATAGTTCAACGGTGGGGGAAGGTACGCCGATCCTTCTGGAGCCTGTATGGCTGGAGGCATGTCTGTGTGACCGCCTGGTATTATGTCTGTGTGACATGGGAGATGTGTGTGTCCTAAGTCGGTGTGACTGGGAGGTATGGCCTTGTGTGATGGGCGGGTTGGAGACATCACAATTGCTTGTTAGTTGTTTGTGCATCGCTAGGGTGCTTGTGTGTTGCTTATTGGATTTATTCTTGACATGTTAGTTGGAAATGAATGAGTGGGAAGAGAGTCTGGTCTGGTTCTTACTGAGTAATCCCCATTACTCACCCCTCCTCTTCCTTACTGTCTTTTCAGGTATAGGTTATAGATCAGTCTAAGTCTATGTTGTTGATTGCTATATCGGCGTTTTCGAACCTAGCAGACCTGAGACTCATCATCTGGACCAAACCAGGCGTCTGACCGAATACGATTAGATAACCGACCTAACATGTCCTATTTCACTTCCTCTCTAGGAAGTTTGGGATAGGGATGTTACACTTTGCGTTCTCTCTGAAATCTAGATCTCAATTTTTGGGTGACGATGAATACAAAACACAACATGATTGGAGCGATTACACAGTAATCTCTAACCCAATTTCAAAACAAAAATTAATTAAAAAAAATGAATTTTTCAAACCTGGTAGCAAGTTTTTCCTCTGATGGAACATTGGATCGTTGCTTCAGCTGCATGCATGATTGGGTGTTTGTGTTTCTCTGGTCTGTTGTTGCATGTTCTCCATCGCCATCACCACAAAGGTTGATATAAAAAGCATAAACATCAAAAAAAAGTCGACTGATTTCAGAAATTTGAACTATGAGTTTTTCTTATATTTTGGCAGAGTTCATATAACTCATCATCTTCGACTGAGTTCTTAGATATCCAGAATAAGGGAAATCCAAATTAGATTACATTCCTTTTTCCCAAAAATTTTTGGAAGTTATTTTAGATATCGACAAAAAAAATAACTATTTTATACTTTTGGATATGACACAGAGAATAATGAGCTAAGAGTAGGAGTTAGAAATATTAATTATCTAATGCAGATATATCTCATGATCTAATGTGCTAACTTAATATTTTTTATAATTCTTGTTAGTTTTACAATTTATGTGTAATTTTATTATTAAAGATTTATCATTTTGAGTAGTGTTATGAGAAATCAAGATCCGAGACACAGAGTTTTAGAACATGAAATTATATGGTGCAATCATATCTCATGATCCAATGCGCACCAAGTTAAGGGCTCTTCTATCAATTAATTTTTTATTGGTTTTGACTTTTTTTTGTTACTCAACTATAATCCTATTGTTAAATATTTACCTATTCAGGTATCGAAACAAGAAATAAAGATCCAAGAGTCAGTATTTGAATATATACTAGGAGTACATCCAGTGTGAATCAGAAATGCATCAGGATTCGATGCTTTTCGGGCACACGCCACCAAGAGAGATATCAAATGATCAAAGACATTTCATCTCTCAAGTAATGGTTACATCTCATTACACCGACTGCTTCCGCATCAGATGTTTTGACATTGAGGATGTGAATGTCCCACAATGGTCTTGATCTATCGAGAGGTTTCATCGTTAGACGCGAGACATAATCATCGACAAAGCCTTGTCCATCTTCTTCAATCTCTTGTGGGTCTATGTATGGTGTATATACATGGTCTTCTACATTGACTTTGGTCTTAATCCATCTTGCACCATTATCTGACTTTAAGGTTTATACAATGAAGACCAAACACAATGTTATATCCTAAGTAGGATTAGGTACAGTTTGTGTGTGTGTGTGTGTGTGTGTGTCAGTGTGTGTGTCAGTGTGTGTCAGTGTGTGTCAGTGTGTGCATGTGTTTATGTGTGTGTGGATCGAAATTATCAGTTTGCTACAGAAACGAGGATGCTTGTAAACGTTATGCTTTAAGTCATCTAGAATGAGGTCAGGATTAATCTTCTTCTTGAAACCGATCATTGTCAAAATGCAACTGTCTATGCTTGGCCACTGGGATAGACCCGCGATTGGGCTGACAGGTTCCTCCTCTACTTTCTCCTTCATCATCTTCCCTTTCGTTTTTCTTTTTACCTATCTATTTTGTCCTCCTTATTCCAGTTTTATTCATATCAAAAGTTGTAGTGATATATGTTAGCTAATTATTATAATAGACTAGATGATTACCCGTGCAAATGCACAGAGTTTTTTTTTATTTTTATTTTTTATATTTTTAAGATTTTTTGTAACGTTAAATAAACTCAATTCAGAATTTTCTGTTTGAGGTTATCATATACATGTAAAAAAAAATTGTTATTTAGTTCTTTTAAAAATAAATTTTTATTAGTTTATTTTTAGCTATTATTTTGTCTTCAAAGAAGCTAATCAAACACATATTATACTAAACAAAATCTAGAGATAATCCAACAAATACTAAGTATAAAATATCAATTTATGATAATAAACTCAAGAGGCATATCCTATAAATAAATAGATAAATTTATTTGGATTTTCCTATTTTAATTGGTAAAATCTTTCACAAACTCTTCTGAAATCAAAAATAAATATAATGGAGTTCTAACTATGATATCCTAAATTGTATTAAACCCATGACCACTTTTCTTCACCAAGTTTTTAGTATGAAATTACTATAGATCTCACGTTGGAGATAGTCTTTTATGCTAAATCTTTCACTTGAATTTAATCGCTAACTTTAATATTCGTTAACTAAAGTGAATTTAAAAACTATCAGCCCAAATGTTTTCGAAGTGATGTCTTATGGTTCCATAGTTCCATATGCTAAATCTTAAGAACACTTGTATGCTTGAAAAGATTATCGAGGATTTGGTCACATAATTTCATCCTCTTAACATCCGTTTTACTTTTTGGGATGGTTTATGTAGAAATAGAAAACTTTGGTATAGAAAACTGGCATATAAACCCAAATCTACAACTTTAGGCAAAGAAACATATAAAAATTGAAAAAAAATTAAAAATCCAAATCTTACAATTATGAAATTTGTCTGAAAAGACTATAGAATACGAAAAAATAATTTAAAAATCCAATCTCTACAGTTATGGGATTTTTATTTTATTTAAATTT